TCTAGAAAAAGATCTGAGAAGCATAATTATGCCGATTGATACTCAAGCACCGACTCATATGTTTTATGCAAGCGGAAAAAAATAGAGCCGTCCCAGACCGAGTTCTTCAAGTGGACCAATCAGCGTCCTAGAGGTACCATAAAGATACGGTCTGGGCTAGTGTAATCCGAGTTGAATCTGGTCACGACTGAACCATATAAGCTACCATACCGCCCAGGTGACTCACAAGAGTATCTTCAAGAAAAGTCCAAGAACCCCGATTTTTCTGAATACTACCACTTATTTCTCCAGGGTCTACACAACATCATTCACCCGGTTACACCATCGTCGATAAAACACCAATGGGTGATGTCAATGTATACATGCAATCGCCGAACAACGGTCAGCGTTCATTTTTTGGAGAAATTTTGAACCTTTAAAATGATTTTAGAAATTTTAGGAAGCCAACAACTTGAAGCTATTGCTGTCCGTACAACTACAACGACCAGAAAAACCACAATACTCAGTCCAATACCGAAAAGACCTTATACGGTAGTGTAAACTAGTTTGCAGAAACTACTGAATTTCATATTTTTGGACTCATGTGACTTTAAATGTTCTCCTGCACTCGATAATATATCAAGAATACGTGTTTGCTGGCTGATTTATTTATCAAAAAGATCAAAAAAAAATGCAGCAATTTTCAACGAGAAGTGGTACAAAAATCACAAACTTATTTGTTTGGATTTCTTGGAAAAACCCACAGTAAGCCCGGGTTTTTCGGTGATTGAGTGTCGACGCAGAGGGGATGGTATCACCTTTTATTGCAACAAACAACATGTATATCAAATTTACATTTTTGCACAGATTCAAAAAGAACAATATACAGGTTCGACCCGAACATACGAAAGCTTTGGTTAATGCTAGACTAAGAACTCTTTGAGGCAATGGGATGAGGAGAGATAATAGGATACGCATGACTAAAATGTACTATCATCGATTCAGAAATTAATACAAACTACAACTTACATGCAGAATAATTACATCCTACCTAAAACTAGGTAAAGACACAGTGAAGGTCATACCCGTAGAAAGTGTGGGATCTGATGCGATTTTGATGATCCCACGCGTTAAAGTCATGAAGTAGTACAGGCACTTTGACTAACAAAAGCGTAAACGTGCTCATAAACTGTAAGCCGTGGATTTCGCTCCCGTTCTTGTCGATAGGTCAGGAGCGCTTTGTAAATCATGCCTAAAACAGTGTATATCGATGCATTTCAAATCAAACGAATTAAAGTTATTGAACTTCGACTTCAAAGAAACTTTTTGAATGCAATGTCTCCCCGAAAACTGGCTTTCCAGTTTTTCAGCTTTTAGGAGCCTTTTCGCCATGCTGAAGCCATATCTAGGCTTTTCAGCGCTTGTAAATGGCGAAAAAGAGCTTTTCGAAGCTCCGGTTCGCGTTTGCTCCAAAATACATGTAAGAAATGGGCGGGGTTGGAAGTGGGCGGATTCCGGAAGACTCCAACGTGGATTTTGGGCTTTCCAACAGCGCTTTTCCGCTCTAAACTTCACTGATAGATTAGTTGGGGGGCCCGCCATCACATGGTTGTGAAAATCCAG